CGGGACCGTAGCAACAACAAGCCGAACTTGATTAAGCTCCTCCTGCAGGTTGTCATATACGAAGTTTGGCGCGAGCGGAACGTTAGGATTTTTCGTAATCAGATCAAGAGTTTGGATTGCATAATGAAGAAAGTTGATCGAGTAATCAGAGATACTATCATGTCGAGGCAAGAAATTGTTTCGGTGGATGAAAATCAAATGTTGCAGGACTGGTATCATTTCACACGGTAGATTTGGGTGGTGGTTGTCTTTTGCAGATTGATATATATCGGTTGATATTTTGATGGTTTCCACATCTTGTTTGGGTTCCCTGTATCTTTTGGTTTCTAACATTTTAGCTGGTTTGTAACTAAACTTCTTTCGGCTATATAATTTTTCACATTATACCAAAAAAAAAAAAAAGATGAAGTTATGTGCTATAATGTGAAATTCTTTTTGACCATTGTTTACAATTTTTCTCTTGGAATGGTTTCAACGGAGATGATGACAAGTAAACGACGGATCAAGGCATGAACGGCGCCGGTGATAACGCCGGCAACCCTGCGAATCCTTTCATCACCGTAGAGCTCCTACATTTTAAAAAACAACAACAGATATTAATTTATTTCTCAAATTATATTTATAACCATTTTTTTGTACCAATATAATTCTAATTTTATTCTATGCTTATTATTCAACAGCAACCGGCCCAAAATTCATAGTAACAAGCAACAACTGTTTTCGGAGTCAATCGCGCAAAAAAGATAATATTATATTAAAAATAACAAGGAGAAAAAAACTTGCCAGATTCTCTTCAACTTCTGGCTAAACGACATCGTTCTGCCCCTAGATTTTCGAGGCGAGGTCTTCACCGCCGGTCGGCGATTCTCTCCCTCGAACATGACGGCGACATCCTCGGAAATCACGGAGAGAGCCGGTCTCCACCTCCGTGATCCCCTTACCCCATTACTTCTCCGCCGCGATCGTGACGGCGCGTGGTGATTCCCGCTCGGAGGACATAGCGGCGCGTGTGAAACGATCGCCGTCGCGGGGGGGGGGCTCGCTCCTCCGCAACGGAACGGGAGCACTGAAGGAGTAGAGGGAAAATCATCGTGATGGCTGAGAAAACGGATTCTATATTTATTCTCAGAATGCGATTTCTCCAACACGTCGATGAAGGAAGTATACCTGTGTGCGTATACATATATATATATATATATATGCGAAGACGTGTATTCATATTTTCCGAATTTGATATGGATTTAAGTTCGCAATTACTTGTCGGTGAGGTACTAGGATTTAGATTTTGTTTTATTTGGGATAATTTGTTGTTGGTAATAAATATTAGTTTCCCTTTTTTTTAGATTAATTGGATTCCTTTGCCTTAGTAAATGTCCTTATCACGTGTTTATTAGTTTCCTTTTCACAAGATCTCGATTTCCTTTTTATTTAACTTGTTGTTTTGTATTTCTACTTGAAGTGGATAGCTTTCTATTATTTTGCAATTTTTTTTGTAAAATAATATACATTTAATTTTATATTAATTTTTTTATTCCCTTCAATATATTAATTCTAATTTTTTCATTTTTTCATTTAAAAAGCGAAAATATTTTTAAAACTTATATAAAAGATTCAAATATAATTATATTTTATTAAATTCAATTTTTTATAATTATATAAAATGATAATCTGTTTTTTCCATTTCATTACTTTTGATTTTCAATTCAGTCTTTTTTTAATTATTATTATTATTATTATATATATATATATAAGATATGATTAATAACAAAATCTATAAATAGAGTTTTTATGTGTAAAAACTGATAAATCTTAAACCTTGGATAAATTTATCCAATCCTTAGACAATTGTATTACAGAAAAGATATATTATAGGTTTTTCCGGAAATTATGAAAACTGTTAAATTCATTGGGATAAATAATAAATTATCAATCATATACAAGTTTACAACACTTTGTTTCATAAATAATGTCGAGGGTTGGCTTGGCCATGGGTAATATGATGACAATTACTTTGGTCATTGGACGTTTTAAAAATTATTATAAATAATTAAATTTTTTTTTTTTTTTTTGTAAAACTTGGTTTCGATGGGTTTGGTGTTGCCAGTAATGTTACATAATCTAAAAAAATTATTGGGGTTGTGAATTAATTAGGTAAATACCAGATAATTATTAACTCAAATGGAAACTATATATTTGTAGTTAATTTTGGAGTTTATTCGTAATATAACTTTGGAGTTTAATTCATTATATTATATAATTTGGGGATATTAGGAGATAAATTGCTGAAGATGTATAAAACTAATATCCTAAGGCTCACGAAATCCACGTGGGTGTGGTCCGGTGGAGAGAGAATTTAAAACCTTCGTAATTAGTGGATACACTTAAATATTAAATTAAAAACTAAACAGACTATCTATGATTCTGTTTATTTATTTTTTTAAATTCATCTGTTGGTATTTATATAATGTGTTATTTACATAGGGAACGAGTCCCAAAAGCGACGAATTAGCGAATAGAATTAAGAAAGTCATGTTTATTGTTTTTAGATCAAGCAGTAGGAGTGGGTACGGATCGGATATCCGAGATTTTTGAGATATACGTATCCGTATCCGATCTGCACAAATATTCGATTTTGTTATCTGTATCCGATCTGTAATTTTCGGATATCCGCAACTTCGGATATTCGTAAAAATCACGGATATTTGCGGATATCCGTATCCGACCTAAAATATTATAAAATTTTAAATTTAAATTAAATAACAAATTCAAATATAAATAAAATATATAATTTATTTAAGATAAATGATATTCACAAATTTAAAATTCATAATTTAAACATTCCAAATCAACTCAAATACAAATACAATTATAATTTATCACATACAAATATATTCAAAATTTAAAATTAGAAACATTAAACATAATAAATCTTAATATTCAAAAGATTAAAATTATAAACCTCAATATATATAAATTTTTTCTTGAATCACCCTAAAAAATATGTAAATATTAAGCATTTTAAATCTCCATACCAAATTATTCTTATATTTAATAATATTATTACAAAGTACGGATCAGATCGAATATGTCGGATAATTCAATTTTAATATCCGTATCCAATCCGTATCCAATAAATATCTCCAAATAAATATCCGTATCCGATCCATAAACTCCGGATAGCCGAATTTTCGGTTCGGATACGAATCGAATAACGGATCGGTTCAGATTTTTTGGATATTTTGCCTACCCCTACCAAGTAGAATTAGGGCTGGGCGTTTCGGTTCGGTTCTTTGAACCGAACCGTTAAAACGGTATTTTTTCCGACCCAAAACTGCTGTTATTTCCGAACTGTACCATTTTTAGAGAACCGAATTTTTCCGGAACCGAACCGAACCGAACCAAACTTTAAAAATACCGAAAAACCGAATATTTTTAAAGGAAATTTAACATTTTTTTTAATAAAACCCGAAACCGAACCGAACCGATACCGAAATCGAACCGAACCGAATACAATAAAAAATCTGATTGGTACCTATTTTTATAAAACGGAAAGAATCGAACCGATCCATTCCGTCCCGAACCTGAACCATTTCCCGAAACGCTCACCTCTAAGTAGAATTAAGAAAATCGTAGATAAGTAATTTCATCATAAACCTACAAATTGTATTATTTATATATAGATTATTATTATTATTATTATTATTGTTGTTGTTGTTGTTGTTGTTGTTGTTGTTGTTGTTGATGTTGTTAATTAAAATTTATATTCATAATGGAAATAATGGTGTTATTTTATTGTTATTAATTATTTTAAGTTAATCATATATATTTTTTCTTTCGCTTATGTATACATTAAAATGTTTAGCTGCATGGCTTAGTTTATCGATTTTTGATAATTAGTCTGATTTATTTAAATTTTCATCAATATAAAAAGAATATATGTTAATTAACATAATCTTTAATAACTTCTTGAACTAATTTTAATACTTGAAATTGCCATAAATATTGCATAAACTTTTGTAACAATTGACTATTTGACTATTTTTATATTATCCAAGGAAACAAAACATTTTCTCAATTCAGATTTTACTTTCCACTTTCTCCAATTTTTTGAAAAATATAGTTGGGCAATATGACCGTAAACTTCGAAATTATAAAAAAAAAATGATGTTTTGGATGGGGCATGCCAACTGACCATTTTATTAAAATTTAAAATAAATTGATTAAAAAAGTAAAAAGGTGACGTGTACAGCAGCACACCCATATCTATCATATAGATATATATATATAAGTGATAGAAGCTACGTCCAAATCAAATTTATGAAATGGGCTTTAAAATTGGACCGTTCAAAGTGTAAGGCCCACTCGAATGTGACGCTCCAACTAAAGCCTAAATATTCCAAAAGGTAATTTTCATACGATTTTTTTTAATTTCCTAAAAATTAGAACATAAATACGAAAAAAATATCCGAAAAAAAACCCGATTTATTATTTTTTTCTAAATACGACAAATATCTCGACCTGCCCCGACACGAGACTAAACCCGAATCTTATAAGGCCAAATTTTGGATTTGGTTTTATAAATTTGAAAAAATCGGATCGGTTTGAACCCGAATCTTGAAACTCTTGAACTGGGTGCGAACCAACCCGACACCTGTATTTATTTTTTTTTGAAAACCTTGTAATGATTATGAGAAATTCCTCTATTAATGGATATTACATTGTTTATAAAATAAAATTTAAAAATCATGATATTGCTTTTAATATATAAGATCTATTAAATTAATCTCACATTATGTATAGTGTTGCTATGCCACAATTTATAATTCTAATAATGTAATTACACCACATAATCATACAATGTTAATTAATTTAATTATAAGATTTTGTTTAGTTAATTAATTAATTTGTTTGTTTATTTATTTGGTGGTTTCGCTCCATGACCAATTTTATTTTATTTTTAATTTATGTCCAACGTTACTTTCTCTGATAATGGCATTCCGATACTTTTTAAAACTTAATTTGATTTCGGCCTCTTCTTTCTTCTTCAACTTCATCGAATTAGGGTTTCTCTCTGTTTCCAACTTCGAAGTTTCTCTGGCTTAGGCTCTGAGATTTACTCCCCTGCTCTGGTTTCTTTGTCCGACATTAGATCTTCTTCTTCGTCTCCTTCTCCTCCTCCTCCTCCTCCTCCTTCGAGCTTGAAACTGAACTTCTCTCGTTTGAACTCTTGCACCTTCGACCATGTTCTGGAAGTTGACTGCTCTCTCCACCGCTTCGCCGGTAAGTAGAAGTTTCTTTATCTATTTTCGTTGTCATAATCTTACTCCTTTTCTAGTGGACTTGTTCAGAATCGTGATGAAAATCTCGAGATTTCGTTGTTTCTGGATTAGTTTCGCCAGATTTTGGATCATTTGAAGTGAAATACAAGAAAGGTGCTCTTTGTTTGTCGCGTAATTATGCCTGGAAACGAAAAATGTGGGATTTCCTGGTTTCTTCTTTACATTGAATCTGATTTTAGATGATGTTTTGCTGCTTTGAATGGGAAATGATCCATTCTACTGTGCTGTCCTGAGGTTGGTATGGGGATTAACTTTATATATTTTTTCTTTATGCGTTATAATTGTTGTGGGCATCAAAGTTTCAATCTTGGTTTGTTATATATCGCCCATGTCTCTCATTTCTTTCTGATTCGAGTGGAAGAAGATCATATTTTCTCTGATGTATTTACCTCGTATTTGAAATTTGTTGGAATTTTGGAATTTGGAACTGCTAATCTCATTTTCAGAAGCGAGAACTTAACTGTGGAATGTTGTTGTTGTTGTTGTTGTTGTCGTGATTTGGTGATTTCTACTTATGCTTTTTTTCTTTTTTGCATTTGCCTTATCATCTACATGCTTCGACAGGTCGAATCCATATTAGACAAGGAAGACTTCACTTTGGAAGAGCTCCTGGATGAGGAAGATATAATCCAAGAGTGCAAAGCTTTAAACAGCCGGCTCATAAATTTGTAATTCATTTAGGCGTCACCCTTTTAACATAAGTTTGAACCAGTGGTTTATGTGTGTGTACTTCTTATACGATTCCTTTGTAACATGACATTTATCTTATGTGTATAATATTAACCATTTCTTATGAAGTCTCAAGAAGGCATGCGACTCTGTAGATATTAGCACACTAAGTAGATAGAATCACGGTATACTATTTTATTTCTTTTTTGCAGGACACGGATGGAATACAGTGACAGCGTTAGTTTCTCATAGTAACGAGGGTGTGATATTGTTCTTTTAAGTTTTGATTTTGTATGCTTATTTGCAGTCTGAGAGAGACAAAGCTTTAAACAGCCGGCTCATAAATTTGTAATTCATTTAGGCGTCACCCTTTTAACATAAGTTTGAACCAGTGGTTTATGTGTGTGTACTTCTTATACGATTCCTTTGTAACATGACATTTATCTTATGTGTATAATATTAACCATTTCTTATGAAGTCTCAAGAAGGCATGCGACTCTGTAGATATTAGCACACTAAGTAGATAGAATCACGGTATACTATTTTATTTCTTTTTTGCAGGACACGGATGGAATACAGTGACAGCGTTAGTTTCTCATAGTAACGAGGGTGTGATATTGTTCTTTTAAGTTTTGATTTTGTATGCTTATTTGCAGTCTGAGAGAGAGAGCCCAAGTGGAGCAGTTGTTACGTTATATTGTCGAGGAGGCTGCAGAAGATGCTGATAGCAAACGAGCTTTCAAGTATGGCCATTGAGGTTTCTAGGCTTTTGAATTTCACTCACTGTCTGGCAAAATTTGTTAAGAATATCGTTGATATGATCTTGGATTATTGCTGAGAACTGTGCCGAACTCTGTTAATTGACCCTGAAGCATGTTTTTTTTGGTATTAGGTTCCCTTTCATCTCCTCTGAAGTATTTGCATGTGAAATCGATGTCATTCTTAGCACTTTAGTGGAGGCGGAGGAGGTAAGTGTACTTTTTTTAGATATTGAATGCATATCTCTCTTCATATTGACTATTGAGCATGTGTTTTCTCTCTTTTTCTTTTCCTGTGGTCTCATGTAGCATTCTCTTTTTCATATTGCAGCTAATGAACCTCCTTTTCTCCTTTTTGGAACCAAATCGCCCTCATAGTGTAATGCTAGCGGGGTATTTCAGCAAGGTAGTGTTTTGGTTACTGAAGTCTAAATCTGAGACCAAATATTCACGGTCGATATTAGGGTTCCACCACTTGCTAGGTTCTTTGGGAGATTTTATGCTTTTCATGTGCCTGCACCGATTCACTTTGTTCTCTTTGGATTTAGGTTGTCATATGCCTCATGTTGAGGAAGACGGTCCCGCTGATGAACTATGTCAAAGTAAGTGTGTTTGGATAAGATGAACTTTATGAGAAGTAGAAACTAGCACAGAAAGCATAACAGGTTTTGACTGAAATAAAATTCTCTGGTAGAAAACAACTTAAAATGATTGGGGATTATTCCTTTTGTGCTTGTGATTTTATGTGAACAGTATTTCCTTTGTACAGTTGATAATGACTACAGTTAGTTGATCCAAGGATGCCTTGTGATGTTAGGTAGAAAACTCTAGCATAAGTTCATACAATATTGAGATTACCCTTTGTTTGGAGCTCGTTGGTGTGTAAATCATGGCATGTAATGTTGATATAAAAGTACTACTTAACACTAGAATACCGATACCTCTACAGGACCATCAGAATGTTTTCCAGCAACTGGTTGATTTGATAGGGATCACGTCCATAATGGAGGTGAATAACTACTCCCTCTCCCTTTTTTCCCTCTGAAATTTGTGTCTGCTTGTTTCTTTTCAGCTGAACATCATCTCATTTATGTAGGTTCTAACTCGATTGGTTGGTGCGGATGATCATGTATATCCCAATCACCTAGATGTTATGCAATGGTTAGCTGATAGCAATCTGCTGGAAATGATTGTAGATAAACTCAATTCTCTGGTAAGTATAATTTCGGAAACTTTATCCCTGTCTTGTTAGTGTTACAGAAAATAAATTCAACAATAAAATGAAATAATAAAAATTGAAATCTGTTGCTTCTTTAATGTCGTTGCTAGTTGGCAGATACTTATACTATTCGTTTCTGGCTTCTCAAGTGAATGTGGAATAGTATGAGATGCTATGCTATTCTGCTCTTGCTTATTTTGGTTATTATCCTGTCACGGTTGTTGATAATCTTCTTTCAAAACTTCTCAGTCTTCTCTACAAAGTAAAGAGGCCATTTTGTGGTCGTATAGTTATATTTCGTTCAGTCAACACGGACTTGCTATTTGAACTTTTGATCTGCTGTGATATGGTGACATTTCTGACAAGATCTTTTGTTTGGGTGCTTGAATCAGAACACTCCTGAAGTTAATGCAAATGCTGCTGAAACACTCTGTACGATCACTCAAAACGCAACATCACCTCTGGCTACCAAACTTTCTAGTCCCAGGTTTGCGGGTGTCTTATCCTCTTTGCTTTGTTGGAACCTATTTAAAATTTAGATTGAGCTAATGGATTTCTGTTCCTGCAGTTTTGTTGCTAGGATATTAGGTCATGCCTTGGAAGATTCCCACTCCAAATCTTGCCTTGTCCACTCACTTTCAGTGTGTATTTCCTTGTTGGATCCAAGAAGATATGCGGTTTCTTCTCCCTTTATGTATGCATTTAGAGGCCAACATCTCTTTGAGTCCCCAATTCTCGTGAACCCAGAAACTGTTGCTGCCATGCTGCCTAAACTTGGTTAGTGTGACTCCACATCAACATTCAATTTGTTCTTTACTTGAGTAACTTTACTTTTCTGTTTTGCGGTTGGTATTTATTTTTATCTTAAGATCTATGGTTCAGTTTCCATCTTCTTGGTTTGTTTTCTTTCTACTGATGGTATTCCTCTCTCTCTTTCTTCCCTCTTACTTAAGTGGCAATATCTGCTACCAAGCCAATTAAAATCTTGTAATATTTACTCACTCGATCTCATTCCACTTTCATAAATGTGATTTATCGATACTTTTGAAGTCGGAGGAATTTTTGTTTCAATTTTTTGATTTTGTTGCTTTGTTTTATCTTGCTGAATAGATTAAAGCAATCATTCTTGTTTGGGTGTGTTTCTTCGTATTCGCTACCTTATCTTTTAATGCGTTTGCACTATTTATCTGACTTTTCCTCTGCAGTTTTTCTGGCATTTCTAAGTGTATATCCCTGATGCAGGTGAATTATTAGCGCTTCTGAATGTGTCGTCTGATGAAAAGATATTACCTACAACCTACGGGCAGTTGAAGCCTCCTCTTGGCAGTCATCGTCTTAAGGTCAGGTCTAATTTTGATTGTATTATGGAAACAATAACTGATTCTAGACTAGTTATGCAGGTATATTAGTTTGAGATTGCATATATCTACCCTTTCTTTTGAGTAAGGCATCTGCTGATTTTTTTTTTTTAAATTTGTTTTTGTGTTGGTGTCCTGTTTTAGATTGTGGAGTTTGTTGCTGTCTTGTTGAAAACTGACAATGAAGCTACAGAAAAGGAACTAGTGACTTCGGGAGCCATCAAAAGAGTACTTGATCTATTCTTTGAGTAAGTTTTTACAAATGCCTGTGATTAACATCTTGTTGTTATTTGGTATTTTCGCACACATCATTGTGCGGTATGTGTTAGCTGTGATAAGTTATTTTTTTTTCCTTTTTTTCACCTATGTGATGCAGGTACCCTTATAACAATGCATTGCATCATCACGTGGAGAGTATAATAGCATCGTGTTTGGACAGCAAGAACGATGCCTTAGTTGATCATCTTCTCCAAGAGGGAGATTTGATTGGAAAAATTCTTCAAATGGAGGAACAACCAATCCTTTCTGGTGATAGCCCGGTAAGTGCGGTTTCTGACAGATGTATATTGATCTTTCTGGCCTGCTCATTGACTGATTAATGAACATACGTTGGATGAAATCTGGGAATAGAGGAGTAAACTGCGTTGCAATCATATCAGTCAGATAAATTGTGGAATGTTCCAATCCTTTTCCCATTGTGCTCTTTTTTGCCGACTGGAAAATTGCACTGAGTTAACTGTATGGGTTTTTTTTTGTCTCTATGCAGCCAACATTACCTGCCGTTGGGAGACAGGCGCCACGAGTGGGAAATATTGGCCATATTACAAGAATTGCAAACAAACTTGTTCATTTATCAACAAGCAATAGCCAAATAAAGTCATTTCTACAGGTTGGTTTGACAGTACATGCTCTTGCCATCAATGATTTTTTGAGGTTCTTCTTTGCTGCATATCCTGTGAGAATGTGTCTTAGCATATTTGTTTGTGTATATATATGTATGCATATATATATACACACATCTTTTTATACGAACCGTTTTTTATTCCTTGTTAGGATAACAATGAATGGATCGAGTGGGAAACTAACGTTTTGCAAGACCGTAATGCTGTCGAAAATGTCTACCGCTGGACTTGCGGGTATGCCTGCCTCTTGTCTCGCCTTAATATTTTTCTTATCACGGAAGTATTACATGATACAAGATTAATTCTTCTACATTTAATGCAGCCGCCCAACAGCGTTACATGATAGGACTAGGGATAGTGATGAAGATGAGGTTCAAGACAGGGATTATGATCTTTCTGCTCTATCTAATAACTTGACCCAGTTCTCATACATGTTTGAGACTGATGGTGCTGAGGAGGTAGATCCAACTCTCTGATTCGAATTCCCCTCTTTTCTGAATATTTTGCTGAATTGTAATGGCCTCATCTTTCTGGTTTCAGGATAGCGGTGCCAATGACAGAGACGAAGAGGTAGGTATCGTTATGGATCTTCGATATCTACCTAACGAAAAAAAATATTGGGTTTGTCTACAATGTAATATTAATTTTTACCTATATTTCTTAGGATATCTACTTGGATGATGAATCTGCAGAAGTTATGTCAGCCTTGAGGCTTGGTGATGAACAGGCAAGGTAAAGCTCCTGAATCTAAGACAGAACATTGTGTATCGTCGGGTCATGTTCAAACAAGGGAAAGAAAATAAGCATTAATGATCCTTTTTTTCTCTCGTGCAGCAATTTGTTCACAAACTCGAACTGGTTCACGTTCCAAGAAGATGATGGGTTCAGCGCGAACACACCACTCGAAAGAATAATACCTTTGGAGGAGGAGGAGGAGGCTATGGAGGATGAAAGCTTGAACGAAACTACTAATGGCAGTGGTGATGGCTTCAACAGATCCGTGGTAGAAAGCAAGAATTCTTCAACTGCCAATATGGAAAAAGAAAACTCTGCAAACGGTAACGGCCTTTTTGACGATGCATCCACCAAATGGGTTACAAGGGGAGATTCTTCGTCCACCGCCGTAACTGAGACAGAGCCGTTCAAGATGCCAGATGTAAGAATCCCGAACGGCGGTCCAACCTCATCCGAGACGATGAGCCCGAGATCGCCGCCGGTGCCATCGTTGTTCGAAGAGGATGTTGAGTTTGTAGGAGTGGAACCCGAAGGGACGGAGAGGGCAATGGAGCAGGCTCTCAAGGAAGGCATAGTGGGAGAAGCCGGGCCGATGAAGAGGAATGCGGCGGCGGCGGCCCCATCGCCATCCCCGGAGAAGGAGAGTTCAGGGGATAAGATGAAGGAGTTCAATGACGCAAACTACTGGAGAATCGATCAAGATGTCACCCTGGTTGAATGAATTCAGCATTCGAGTCTCTGCCTCTGTGTATGTATAGTTTACTCTTTTTTTTTTTTTTATTTGTTAGGGTCTCGCAGTCAGAGATTTGATTTGCTGCTCAAAGATTTTGTGACTTGCTTTTTTTAGATTAATCTGTTATTAGATTTGATGAAATTTGATAAAGTTGCCATCTCAATTCTATGTTATGGACAAGAAGCACGTGCTCCGAAGGGATATATTAACTTCTCACCTCCTTTGAGGATGTTTTCTTATGAAAACACCAACGTTTTTGCCTGTGAGAAAGTTGGTACTGTTTTCATGCATGTAAATAAAAAAAAAAAACTGGTTTCTTAAAAAAAAGTTCTTATTAGGACTAAATTAAGATGTTATTGATTCTTGACTAAACATTATTATATTAATCTTTGCAAATAACGACATAAATCTCTTGCACTGCAAACTTCTAACTCCACATACATAAATCCAAAAACTTGTGCAATTTACTTAGCTGCAGGGGGCGTCGTTACGGTCTTGGAACAACTACTTTTGAGAAGAGAAGAAACGGATTTAGAGGGAACATGGATGACAAACAACTTTCACTTAAATCCAAAATTTCCATGCAACATGGAATTCCGACATAGTGGCGAAGAGGTGACAAAGTCATCCTCGACGTCATGGGTTCGAATCCACGGGTGGGGAGGAGGGGGCGCAATTAATTGCGTGTCTAAAGGCTGACTCCGGGCCCAGGGGATTAAGTGGGCCGAAAGCCCAACGAACCTCCTGGTTATCAAAAAAAAAAACATGGAATTCCGACATTTCCAAATTGTCCTGTGAAAATTGACGTTGATATCTGCAACAAGCATCCTGGAATGTTGAACAACGTCGATCCACACTTTGTCAAATCCAGAAAGCCAGGTAAACCGAGACCGTTAGGCGGGAAGAGTCCAGGTAAACCGGGAACACCAGGTGGAAAGAGTCCGGGTAAACCGGGAAGTTGTTGTGGTTGTTGCCCTTCCGCCGCCAAGCTTTGTTTTACACAATCAGTGATGCACAAGCTCACAACTAGCATCATTAGAAAAGATCGCTCTCCGCTTGCTCTCCATTTTATAGATAATATAATATAAGAAATAGGGTGTTTTGGATGATATGAGAAACGAGAAAAAGATGTATGAAATTTATAGGGTTAACAAAATCTACAGCTTTAATTTTACAAGTTTCATTTACAATCAATGCATAATCTATTAATTGCAAGAGTTACAGTTATAATTAGTTTCAAGAGATTTTTTAATGTGCAATCAATTGTGTAATAAGAGCCCAAGTTTATAGCCATGCAGTCACTTATTTTTCGGTTTCAAGGAAACATTTAATTTGATGTATTGTTGAATAAACTTAATATGAATGTTTCTAACAAATCAAACTCATGAATATCCAAAGAAATAAACAAATCCTATACGTATATGTGTAGTTTAGAATTTTTTTTGTATCTATAATTAAGATGAGATCATATTACATCGCGTTTTAAAATCTTGGATGATATATTGTAAGATTCTGGATATATGGTGATAATTTTGATATAAATTTAAATAACTTCGATTGTTTCTTGCATATATATATATATAAATATATAAATGCATATGTATTATGCGCACACGTAACGTAGGTTCACACATCCATTTTTTAGTTTTGGAGAAAAGTTAAATGAAAAAGATGAAGTTTTGGGAAATTTTCTTTTATATGTATATATATATATATATATATTAGCCCATTTAACAAAAATTATCTCTTATACTAGAGAATGGGCTTCGAGCTTTCAAATATTATTGCAAGTTTAGCCCATTAGGTTTCGGTTGAAGTAAAGGCCAACAGTTGACAAGGTGCCCAAAAATTATACCAATCGGTTTTCATTTTCATTAAATAAATATTTATTTTGAAAAAATCGTTTTTCAAGTTTTTTTAAGATCAAATTTATAGTTAAAACGTTAAATATATGGCTAGTTTTAATTTAGTTTTTCATATTCCGACAAAAAAAATATTTACCTAATGCAAGGAGATTTTGAAAGAAAATTTTAGACTTCTCACTTTAATGTACACTGTCATGTCTGAACATGTCAACATCATCCATGTCATGTCAAATTAATTTTATGAGACAAATTTAAAAAACAGATTATTCAATTTTTTTCATACAGAAGAATCTAATATATTTCGTATTGGAATTTTTTTATTAATTTTATTTCGAATTTTGTTTTTGGATATTTGTGCACATTCTCCATCATTAGGGGGAATAGTGAATTTAATAATTGGATTGTAGGAAGGAGTGCAGACAGAGAGACTGACTGAACGCGGAAACGGAGCGCCGTACACCCATCATGGAAACTATCAAAAAGATTCTTTCGCCGTCAACTAACGGCGTCTTCTCTCTCTCTCTCTCCCCCAATTTCTCATTAATAATTTTTTTTAACAAATTAAAATAAATTGCGTTTTACATTTTATTAGGAAGAGCACAATTCTGCATATCCTATATTTTATATTTTTATTGCTCTTCAATCCTATATGTTCATAAATTTATAATAAGCTTTATATTGAAGAACATCCTATCTTTAATGTTGCTTTCAACCAACTATATTATAATATTTAAAATTTTCAAATTAACACAATAGTTAGAATATATACTACAAGGGCAATATTATATGGATATTTTTTAATGATTAAAAGCTTAATTTAAGAAAAACTATAACAATGTGTATAATATTTTTATTTATAAACAAAATTTAAAATTTAATAATCATATGACACTTCTAACATTTAAATTTTACCATCTACGTTAGTTGTAAAAATTTATGATTATGAGTCCATCACATTTATGCAAATGCATAAAAATCAAGAAATCACATTTATTACAGTTAACACCAAACAAAAGTTCTATATAGAGAGAGAGAGAGAGAGACTCTGGATGAGAGAGAGGGCTTTCGCTTTACTGCTTCATCTTCCTCTGAAACACTGTGACTGCACCTCTCAACTAAAATTCACTGCCACTAAACGTCCGTCATTTAACCCAACCAATCTTCCTCCATTTCTGCATCCTCTCTCTCTCTCTCTCTCTCTCTCTCTCTCTCTCCCTCCATTTCCGAGCGTACGATTGAACCTGCGGATGAGCTCTTGTTCATTTGAGGTGAATTGCTTGATCCCGATCCCGATTGTAGCTTTTGGATCTAGATTTGGTCCTTTCTGTTTCTACCGGTGGATTTTGTTTTGGTTCCGAATGACGTATGGTTGCTGGATTTGATTCGTTTTCTTCGTTTAGTGGTTCCGAATGATGATTTGATGCCGGGAGTTCGATTTCTGTTGGTTTCCAGAGAAAATGTGATCATCCGAGGTGATTAGATACTGCGTTTCGCTCGTTCATATGACTTGAATGAACTTGGTTATGACTTTCAAGTAGTGCTGAAGTTCTGTTGAGATAGTGTTTCTGTGTAAACTTGGGAGTAAATGATTCCTGATGTTGGTAAGTTTGTAGGTGCTGAGATCAAGTATTTTGTGTTAGATTACGTTTTATTTTTGGTGTTTTTCTATAAGTTAGATTTATTTTCGTTTTTTTGGGATATTAACATTTTCAAATAGGGATGGAAAGTGGGAGAACTTAGGTTGATTTGTTAAGTCTCCTAATTATATTAAACTTTCTTCACTCTTATCCCTCTTGTAACTCCGATATAAGGAGCAAGAAATCTGACGAATAAACCAGTTTTGGGGTTTTTGAGAAATTGGGTATTGCGTCTGAGGCAGAATAAGGCGGGATTGTCGTTGCGGCACTGATATTAGTCTACCGTCTTCGTTTTGTTTGGTTGATGAAACAATGTGGGTTTAGAACTTGTGATCTTTGCTGAAAACGTCGTGCCTTGAGGTTGTTCTGTGCTAAAAGTTGGAATTGTTTTCCTTAGGTTGCTTGTTTGGTTAGCTTGAAAATGCCATCATGGAGTCTTGCAAGTTTTTTTAGCTGCACGGTTTCTAATCCAAGTTGCTTTTATGTCGCCGGAAACAGAAATAGGAAGCAGAAAGCGATGTCTTCTTATTCTAGTTCTGTTGACAGCTATGGAGTTCAAGTGTAGCTGTAGTCATGTGAGGACATTTTCCAGTTCTGTTTACCTATATTTTCAGTCCTTTTCTCTTTTTATCCTTTTATATTTATGAGCAATGGTCTAGCTCTCTCTCTCTTTCTCATGTATATCACTTTCTTTGACATAGGCCTCATTTTCATAATCTTTTACTTGTGATGCTCTTCTCTTCAGTTACTCATTGGCTGTATATTTCGCAAACATGAAATCAGATGGTGAAGCACTCGTCATCTCAGGTGCAATTTGACTTAGTTTCCTGAAGCTGGTTGGAAGAAAACCTGTATGCAAATGACCACTTATGACCAAGATGATGTTGTCCAGTGGACTCTCCGCTTGTTTGACACTAACCCTTATTCAAATTACGAATATTGCGGAACCATTGCACATGATGATGATGTAGTGCAAAATGATGTTAACTATTACCACGGACAATATTTCAAGGAAGACCTATACGATGCCGAACCTTGTAGTGTAGAAAATGATGAGCTTCTTGCACATGCTCTTCAAGAATTGCAACTTCCAGTGGAAGAAGAGTATGAATCTCCACAAGCAAAGGACAAACATTTGCAGTTCTCTGATTTCCGACAAGAATGGATCGATCAATCTTTGGGGAGCTTTATCTCTGGTAAATGCTAGATGAAGCAGCCCCAGTATGGTTATTTAGCAGGTAGGCTCAGAAGTATTGGTTTGTGCAGTTTCATTTTCCTAAATAATGCGTAATTTGTAGGCCAGGATTCTGGACAGGAAGAGGTGGATGATGGTGATCCTTCAAGTTCATGTTCAAGCCCTGAAGAGAGCCCTTTTGGAAAAGAAGATTGGTTTTATTCTATTGAGCTCACTGATGAACATTCTTTCGATGGCAAGGTTGAGAAAAGTTTGAATCAGATGGTTCCGATTCCTGTAAGTGCATTCTCTTGATTCCGTGATCAAATTTATCTCTACCGTAGTGATAGTGTTCTCTCTTATCTGCAATATCTAATTTCATATCCTAAACCGTAGAAGTTACCAAGGAAAGTGTTTGTTGTACACATTTGGATGCTATAGATGGAGTGAGCTTACCTTCACTAGCTGTTAAACATAACTGTTCCCCCTCCTCATGTAGCATGTTCCCAAAATCAACGGAGAAATACCCTCTATCGACGAAGCAACATTAGATCATCAGAGGCTATTAGACAGGTGTTTCCTCGGTGGTCACTGCTTGAATTTCTGTAAAAATTTCCACTGTAAGACAAGATTACGATTTAGCTGTCCACTGCATTCTCTAATGGTAAATTTTCTGGCGATGCAAATTTTAGATTACAGGTATATGATCTGGTTGAGCTCAAAGTTCAAGGAGATGGTAATTGCCAGGTTAGCGTTTATAATACATGGCACATACCTCTTCAGCCTCGTTTAGTCTTCCTTTCACAATGGCTTAATGAAACCGAGCTATTTAAACAACTTGCATTATTTTCTTGTCACACGTAGAAATGGTATCATGTTGCGAAAACTGATCCAACCCCGCTTTGTCAATGTTTTTTTCGGGTGGACCAAATCTTCTTTTCTTTATCAAATCCTGTGTTGAGTATTCAGCCATCCTTCATAACTTCTTTGCTTACTATATTCTCATATATGTTTCTAGTTCCGTGCTCTATCCGATCAATTCTATCAAACTCCTGAGCATCATGAATTCATGAGACAGCGCATCGTGAATCAGGTTCGTGATCCTACTGCCTTAAAAGTTCGTAAAACCTTATTTTTTTTTGTTTACATTGGAGTTCTTAGTTTCATTTTTTCTTCTGGCTAATGATATGAACCATCAGCTGAAAGAATATCCTAAGAATTATGAGGGTTACGTTCCCATGGCTTACCATGAATACTTGGAGAAGATGTCAAGGTACACTTCTGTTGTGTGTGTGTGTATTTAATTTGGTAAATTTCTATGTTCCTTTCGGTTAATCCAGACCTTGCATTTCTCCCTCCCCTCTCGGGCAATGATAGGAATGGCGAATGGGGTGATCATGTAACCCTGCAGGCTGCTGCTGATTCAGTACGTCTCGAAACCAATTATACCGAAATATCGAATATTGAGAGGGTATATTTCTACTAATATAGTTGTCAACTAAATCTTGTTGTAGTATGGTGTCAAGATATTCGTGATAACGTCGTTCAAAGACACCTGCTACATCGAGATCCTTCCCAACGTTCAAAGTTCGAAACGGGGTATGATCTTCTCTAACCATTCGCTTATATTTCTTTCTTCTTTCCCGGGTTTTTTTTCTCCTGTGAATCGAGCTTTAGCTAAATCGGTTTCTTCACACATCTTCCTCTATATGCAGTTATCTTCTTGAGTTTTTGGGCAGAGGTACACTACAACTCCATATACCCCCAAGGAGGTAAGCTTTTGCGAAACATGAGAAGCGACGGAGAATTAGTAATTATATTTCTAATAGAATTAGGATCTGTTACTTGGAGGAAACTCTCCACAATTCTACAGCTTATTCTCTCACGTTACATTTCTACACTTGGAATCCAGAAATGCCGACGTTAGGGACAAAGAAGAAGAAAAAATGGCGAGGCTCGAGGAAGCGTTTGGAGTCGCTGGAAGAGTACCAGTAAGCGAATTCGCGGAACAAAAAAGGTTCGGTTTCTATTGCGGTTTTTCTCGTCATTTTCGGATTCGATTCACTCGATCTTACACTGTATTAAACGTTAATAATCGTATTTTTTGTTTTGTATTTGGTCTTTCCGTATATGAACAGAAGATACTCAGAGAGAGAAGCCATCGTAGAAACTCAAACTGGTTTGGTAACTCCCTCCTCTCTTGATTGTAACTTCTGCATTAAGCTCGCAACCCTCCATTAATCTGCGTTTTTTTTTTGTTTATGCTTATTTGAGTTTTATCCCCGAAAAAAAAGGGGGAATTGAATTGTGAGGTTGAGGTTTCCGGTCACTAAAGCATGGAAATTTTTACTGTCATTTATATGTATTATTATATGCCAAATATATTGGAAGATATGGAAGATATGAAACTTCGAATCTATCTATCTTTTCGCATCCTTGGGATTCCTTTAGAGCTCAATGTTTATCATCTTATTTTTCATACCTAACCCAAAAACACGGTATTTTTCCCGATCGAAACCGTACAAAATTCTCAAATATTCTCAAATGATATTATATTTAGAAAATCGAATTTTTTGAAACCCAACTGAGTTGAATGAAAAAACGATTTTTTAAAAAAAATCTATTTTTTTAAAAAAATAAAAACTGTAATTGAAACCGGATCAAACCGAATATAATATAATAATCGATTAATATATATTTTTGTGAAACCGAAAGGAACGAATTATTCCCAAACCCGAACCGAAACTCCCACCTCTGTGGTGTATTATCATTTTTCATCGCGAAATGCACACTTTTTTTTTATTTTTTAATATTTCTTTTGAGGTATCATGTACTCCTGGACAAAAGAAATTGTCAAAAACTGATTCATCAGGGTAGTGAGTTCAATTCAATTAATTAAATATATATATATATATATATATATATATATATATTTGACGTGGTAAGATTTATTTCATAAGTTCTTTAAAATCAGTTATATACTGAATATGAATATGTACAGAACACAATTGGGGACTGAATTATCCGACAGGTGGCCTTTAGATCTCTTAACCGGTTTTTATAACCCCCAAAAAAAAAATCTTTGTTCATGGAAAAGAGAATAAAAATATTAATTAGAGATATAAGCTTTTGAATTTCAGTTCGAATACTACAAAACATGAAAAAAAAAACTTTGTATTAAATTATTAATTTTCACGTGTAGTACTATATATATAGTTTTTCTATTGTATATGAAAATTCCAAGGTAAATTTTAACTGTTATATATATATAGCTAAAAATTAACAAATAGATGTCTTATATGGATCTTTACTTGCATGTGTTCCCAATAAGTTGCTATCTATAGTGTTATATATATATATATATATATATCGGTTTCGAATTCCTTAGAAGAAAAAAGAAGTCAATTGCATAATACATACTAATTATGTCAAGATATCGATCCATTTTTCGTCGGCAAAACGTGTAAAAACGGCCCCTTAGCCCTTATTAATTCCAAATTAAGAATATTCTCGCATCTCTTTGCCTCTATTGTTCAACAAAGAGCCTCTTTTAACCAGTCCTTATAATAAAGATACCGACCGACCAATTGTTTGACGAATTTATGTATATTAAGACGGTCTTGCTTTTGTGTATTTATTTTGATTAATGAATTCTCTAACCAATTTCTCGCATTGCCATTAGCAAATCCATAATAATTGATTAGGGTTTTCACTTCAAGTTTATGTCTCAGCCATGAATCTATATATATATATTCTTGGGAAGTCCTTTGGTCGCCGCTCATTGTCAAATTTTAATTACTAGGCTTTGCCATGGTTAGAGGCTTTTATATTTGGATTTTTTTTTTTTTTGAAAAAAAAATAATCTATTTTTACATTGGATTTTAGTTTGGTTTAAAATCAAATTGGATTTCGTTCGTATTGTGTTTTTATTAATAAAACTTGGCATTTTATTAAAAAAACATTTTATTTTCATTCTGATTATTTTATATTCTGTTAAATTCAATTAATTTAATTTAAAAGACTTTATATCTAATTCGTTTAAACTTTTAGATTGGAAAATGGCTATATATATATATATATATATATATATATAATACCGCCCTCTTATATTTAAAATATAAACTATATACCAAAAGGCAAAATTTCACCAAGAAATATATACATCAAACTAAACCCTACCGTATTTACCTAATGAGTGGTTTCGTCTAAAGAAAGACAAGTTGGTCGGTCCATATCGAGCTATTTACTTCGACAAATATTCTACTCGCAAGTCACAACATGAATTCGAATCCCAAAATCACGTTATTTACATATTTGTACAAAGTATTATAATATCCCGTAGACTTTATCACATAATGGTTATGAATTGCAATGTGATTTTTCTCGTTGTAACCATAATAAAATTAAAAATAGCCGAAAAAAAATCAGATTTACAAATATGTGAGGAGACATTGGAGATTGCCTCGTGGATTGTACGAAGAGTTGGTCAACTTCTATTACATGCTTCCGTCATCATATGCTATAACCGATTCCGTACCAACCAAATAAATAAAACAAAACATATATATGACAATGTAATTATACATATAATAATGTATAATCAAACTCAGATTATACATGAATATATTACCAAAAGGGCCAAATACTCTTTAGGAGATTCCATAAGGTAACGTTTCCAATCTCCAACATTCTCGCAGTTCGTCTGCTACAAGATCCTGTATAAATACCCCCTCGAATCTCCACTTCTCCTCACAACTTGTGTTTTTAATATCAAACACTTTAGACTCTTACTTTGTCTAAATCTATACATACATATATATACATAGTGTTCTGTTTATATAGTTACACGCACATATATATACAAACACTGTAAGTTACAATGTCGGATAACAACGAGGATGTTGTGGGTGAGCCGGGAAGCTCCATGCATGGAGTCACCGGCCGAGAACAGAGTTTCGCCTTCTCGGTGGCGTCTCCAATGGTTCCTACGGACACGACAGCTAAGTTCTCTCTTCCCGTGGATTCGGAACACAAAGCCAAAGTCTTTAAGATCTTGTCTTTCGCCAATCCCCACATGAGAACTTTCCACCTTTCTTGGATCTCGTTCTTCACTTGCTACGTCTCCACCTTCGCAGCCGCTCCCCTCGTCCCGATCATCCGCGAAAACCTAAATCTCACCAAACAAGACATCGGAAATGCAGGCGTTGCCTCTGTCTCAGGCAGTATCTTCTCCAGGCTCGTGATGGGAGCAGTCTGCGATCTTCTTGGCCCTCGTTACGGATGCGCCTTTGTCGTGATGCTTTCCGCTCCTACGGTGTATTCTATGTCCTTTGTATCCGATGCGGGCGGATACATAACGGTTAGATTCATGATCGGATTCTGCCTTGCAACGTTCGTCTCGTGCCAATACTGGATGAGCACGATGTTCAACAGTCAGATCATAGGGTTAGTGAACGGAACGGCAGCCGGGTGGGGGAATATGGGAGGTGGAGCCACTCAGCTTCTCATGCCGTTGGTCTATGAGATCATTCATCGGGCCGGATCCACGTCATTCACGGCCTGGAGGATCGCCTTTTTCGTGCCCGGGTGGATGCACACTGTCATGGGGATCTTGGTCTTGACAATGGGTCAAGACCTGCCTGATGGAAACAGGAGCACATTGCAGAAGAGAGGAGAGGTTACCAAGGACAAGTTCTCTAGGGTAAAATTTGATTACTTGTGCAGCGAGTAAACTCCTGTTTCCCTTTTTTCGATTTCGGAAAAAACATTTGATGAAACCCTTTTCCATTTCCAGGTGTTATGGTACGCCGTATCGAATTACAGGACATGGATATTCGTCCTTCTCTATGGATACTCCATGGGAGTCGAGTTGACCACCGATAACGTCATTGCAGAGTATTTCTTCGACAGGTTCACTCTCAACCACAAACATATCATATAAATCTTGTGCCCTAACCAAATGATTGGTCTAAGAATGTGAATTTTTGGACCGTTTTCAGGTTCCATTTGAAGCTACACGTCGCGGGTATAATAGCTGCGAGCTTCGGAATGGCGAATTTCTTTGCACGACCGCTCGGGGGTTACGTTTCGGACGTGGCTGCGAGATATTATGGGATGAGAGGAAGGCTTTGGACACTTTGGATAATTCAGACACTCGGAGGAGTGTTTTGCATTTTGCTCGGACGAGCGAACCAGCTTACGTTTGCTGTTGTCTCGATGGTTCTGTTCTCACTCGGAGCTCAGGCTGCTTGTGGAGCCACCTTTGCCATTATCCCTTTCATCTCTCGTCGTTCCCTCGGCATCATCTCAGGTTTGCCCTCACAAACTCGTACGGTAGACACATCGATGAGAAAACAGTTTCTGTCGGATAAATTTAGATTGCTTCGTAGCCAAGTAACTACCTCGTAACTTTCATGGAGCTTTTTTAATGCTTTAGAACGTTTTCAAGAAAACGCATTATAATACACATTTGCAGAAACGTTGATAAGGGTGTCCATTTGGGTTTCGGTTCGGTTATATCGGGTTCTGTTTATTTTTGTGTTGTTGGTTAGGATTATTTCGGTTTTAGAAAATCAATAACTATTTGGTTTTATATCGAATTTGGTTTGATTTCGATTAAAACTGTATTTAGATTTAGTTTTTTTTTATATAAAAACTCATTTTTTTTAAAAAATGATCTTGTTTATTTTTTATTCGGTTTGATTCGTTTAGTTCGAGTTTTCGGTTTCACAGATCTCATCATAGTCATTTGATATTTACATCGAATTTGATTCAGTTACGATTATTTAACTATTCGGTTCAGGTCTCTTCTTAAATGCAAGTCGAGACAGACAAAAAAAATGAAAATGAAAAATGTGGACAAACCCTAATCAAACCAAACTACCAGAAATAACCAAATGAGACCGAATCGTATATAAACCAAACCGACATAACCGGTCAAACTATTCCAATAACCGGTAACAGAAACAAAGTTTCATCAAACTGAAACCAAAGTGAGTGTACACTCCGGAAACCCTAATTACCAACGCCGGTTTTTCATTCAGGTTTAACAGGAGCAGGAGGAAACTTCGGTTCGGGATTGACCCAGTTCGTGTTCTTCTCGACATCGAGATTCGGGACGAATGAAGGGCTGATGTGGATGGGCGTCATGACTGTGGCCTGCACTCTCCCCGTGGCATTCGTTCATTTCCCTCAGTGGGGAAGCATGTTCTTCCCTCCTTCACGTCACCCCCTCAAATCCACCGAGGAATATTACTACACCAGTGAGTGGAACGACGACGAGATCAAGAGAGGTATGCATTCCGGAAGCGTTAAGTTCGCTGAGAACGCCCGTTCCGAGAGGGGCAAACGCGTCGCCCCTTCCTCCACACCGCCAAACGCCAACCGCGTTTGATGTCAATCGCCGCTTTCCATCGTGTATTTGGTGGTCTCACGTCCAAATCTCTTCTCTCTCCCTCCCTACTATATATAAGGTTTCACGAGTTTCTTGTACTGCAAGTAACATTCGACAATTTCTGTTGGTTGTCGTGTAATTTCGATTCGGTCTCACGTCGGAGTAGCCATCTGGCCCATCTCTGTTGTGTAAGGTTTTACATGTTTCTTGTACTGCAAGGAACATTCAACAACGTTTGATCTGTACTTCTGTTTAATTATGTAATTTCGATTCGGTTTCATGTCCTGATCGGCATCTCTTCCTGTAAGGTTTTACGAGTTTCTCAGTCCGTTCTGAAGATATGACTTAATAAAATTATTTCTTTCCATGTTATTTTTGGCTGCCCTTGAGCCTTTTCTTCTTAATTTAATGATTTTCCTCATGAATTATTTGGCCCCCTCATATTTATTCTCATATTTTATATATTTTAATTTCTTAAAATAACAATTTCTTTTCCCATATACGAATATCGCGAAAACTAATGGACCTTGGTTGGGCCAAACTCTAAGCTAGTTCAACTTTTTTGGCCCATTATTATCTCGAAACGCCTCTAATTTAGTTTTTTTTTCTTTTTTGTTTACCAAATGATTCATCGGATTTTTTTTTTGTTTATACTAGGTAATAACCCGCGCATCACGGACTAAATATTTACGGATTTTAAATAATTTTTTTTTTAATTTTAAAATTAAATATCATAAATTTTGATTTTAAATTTATAATTTAAATTATTCAATTAAAATAATTTTGTCAAAGTGTAGAGATAATAAGATGATAAGCATGGATCTAAATATAATAGAGTGGGTATTATACCCCACTCTATTAACAAAATATAATTTATTCATAAATTTTATAAAATTTGTAGATGTCCGTAATATTTTTATCACCATTTTCTTCTTTTTATGTGTTTCTCTTATCATTTTTATATTTTATTGATCGTTTTTACTCTTAACCCTTTATTTTTAATCTAAATAATAATTTGTGCATATCGTACGGACTCAAAATCTCAAACCTCAAAATGCTTAACAATTTTCTACATCACCTCCAATGACGTTTAATTTTTGTGAATTGTGTTAAGTAAATATATGACATGGCTAGACACATAATTAAAATTTACTACGTGAACATACCACATCATTAAACTAAAATTGTATATTTTTTCGGTTCATATTAAATTAACTGGTTTGGTTGATTCGGTAATGATTTTATGATGATTTTGAGTTATAGTATGATATGAAATACTGATGTTTATATTTGTATTTAATTTGTTAATATGATTGTAGCAAAAACTAAGATAAGTTGTTTGAGTTGTACTAAATATAAATAGAAAACTTTAATAATATAAAAATATTATTATATTTTTTCAAACAGAATTAAATCAATAACAGAATATTGACATCCTTATATAGATATTTTATCATTAAAATGTAACCGATTTTTATGGTTGTCTTCAGTATTGGTGTGATCTTTCTTTAATTTATGCTAAAAAATCAGTTGTGAGGTAATAATAAAAATTATTATGTTAAATATTATAAATATAGATTTTTTCAAGAATGATACAATTTATTTACCTTAAACGGAAATTTTTGATAATATTCAGTTTTTTATCTATGTAAATCTTTGTAAATATTGATGTGTTGAGTGATAGAACACCTGATGCATAAAATGTATTAATAAACCCACTATAATAATGGTAATGGTTTTTAAATATTAATCTATCAAATATTTAGGAATTAATTTGTGTTAAATAATTACCGTGAATAATCTTTAGATTTACACCCGTAACGACTGCGATACTTTTTCTGACATTCAATCTATGACTTTGTGAATGGAGTTCTGCACCGAGATCACCCCATATGAAAAGTTTAACGATATTGTTGTTGGTTTTTATATTGAAATTATATGTTAGTTTGTATAAATCTAATTTAGTTAAAAAAAATTAAAATGATATTCTTTGCGATGTAAATAAAATTTGAAAACTTACTCTTCCAATAATAAATGAAGAATAATTTTCTGAGTTGACGACGACATTCGTAAATTTGATTATTGTAGTGCGACTAAAACTCCAATAATATTTGCGACATTAGAGAATATATTAATTATAAATCCAATATTTTCTTTTTGGTTTTTTATAATGTCTCATATATTGTATGTCTTTTTTTTGTTTGTCAACGCCAACAAATCGTCGTATAAACATATTCGAAATTTTTCTTTGGCAAGACTATAAGTAGTTACAATAACTTAATAGTAGTATATTCTGTAAAATAAATATAAAAATTACTATTTGTTAATTTGTATATATTATTTGGTAGAATTTTAAAATGTCTAATTAAAAATACGTCTCCCTCGTTTATTATGTTTTTAATTTTTTCTGCATGATTCTGAAATATTTTCCTTCAATAACATTCTCCTGCAACGAATTAGAAAAGATTAGATTTATAATAAGCATAGTATATGAAAATCAATGTTAATTAGAACGTACATTTTCATCAATTAATAAGAATCTGATGCCATTGAACCTATTCTCATTGAAAGGATTTCGTTCATCACATATCCTTCGAAATCTGACCATAATACACCGATAATTATGATGTATACTCATCTGATCCGATCCTACATGGGTTGATATGACTAGGTGCATCTGATTTTTAGATTCCTACAATAAATTTTATTTGATCAATAACGATATTATTTGCAATATAATATATTCATTCATTATTTTCATATGAATAAGAAATCGTTGAAAGAAATAATATATGTACTTATATACAAAAGTCGTTGGGATGATTCTATTTAAAAATATAAAAAATATGATTAACAGATAAATATATAAATTAATGAAAATATAATAAAATACTCTTATATATATATATATATATATATATATATATATTCATTCTGATTAATTCTCGGTGTTTAAAGGTTATGATGAGATGGGCAGCTCAAGTCACGATGGAATTCTCCGAGATTCAGCCTTGTCTAACCTCAAGTTAACAAGAGTCTGATTTTGATGGTTGATTTTAGAATAAATCGGATTTTTTTTATAACCCAAGTGACGATTCAAAGATATCCAAAATACCGGATTTTGGGTCGTTACAAAAACCATGAAAGAGATGCAAGAATATATATAGAATAAAAGTACAATGATGTATAAGAGGGTGACACGTGTCCTCCTTAGAAATATAAAAAATCTCTTTATACATTAAATATTCTCTACCTCTAATTCCTATAATTTTCATTAAATAAGATGGGTAATCACATCACAACTAAAAAATAGGAGATAATTTTCATCTCCTCAACTATTTCTTTAATTTTCCTAATTTTTACTATTCTATTTATAATATTCAACGTTTTTAAAATATATTCAACTCTACTTATATATATATATAGATTATAAAATTATTAATATAGTTTTTATTTATAACTCAAAAATCATCATAAATTTGAATATGTATACAATATTTTCGTTGTCTATTATATAATTTTTTTATATTTGGAATATCAATTAATAATAGATAAATCACGATGATACCTAAAAAAACTAACAAAAAAATAATATACCTTATCTCTAAGTTTGTCACGCAATTCTTGATAAAAAAAGATGCGTAAGACTCATAAGTGTAACAGTTATAATAAATATAAAAAATGTTAATACAAACAGTAATTAATTAAAATCCAAAAATAGAAACATGCATAAACTCTCATCTCATTTAAAAACAATAATCTGACAATGATAATATTTTATTTGTTTTATTAATCTCTTTAGACTTTTCATATATTTAAATTAAAGTATACAAATGAACTATATATATAAAATAATACATAAGCGTGTGTGTATATGTATGTGGTGGAGGTGATGACAAAGTTTTGATTTTTTAATTATGTTACAGTATACAAACCTCAAAACTAAAATATAAAAAAAAATCACATAACAAACCGATAAAATAAAACAATAAAATAAATTTAAATTATATTACCTGAACAAATTAAAATCAAAAGCAATGGCTAAAAATAATTAATGAATGATGATTGAGCGTGAAAACTCATTTATTTATAGTTTACAATTCATTTATTGAAGTTATCATTGTTCATTGGATTCAAATCTCTTTATTCTAAATTAATAAAAAAAATTGACTAAAAATGATGACAACAATAAATATTCTCAAAAAATTTATACGTTATAGATTTATTTGTAGAATATTTTTTTACATTAATCTCATGCACAAAAATTGATACAATATACATTTATTTGTCAATTTTTTTATTAATCTTTTAGATATGACATGTATCATACCCCATGCATCCACTGTATTTTTATATATAAAATTTATACGTTATAGATTTATTTGTAGAATATTTTTTTACATTAATCTCATGCACAAAATTGATACAATATAAATTTATTTGTCAATTTTTTTTATTGATATTTTAGATATGACACGTGTCATACCCTCATGTATCCACTATACTTTTATATATATATATATATATAGATTGGCTCACTTGGTCTTCCATCCAACCACACTCAAAGTCAATTTTATTGTAATTAAATTGTATCTTTCTTTTCCAACGACCACGTAATATGGTTTTAACTTTTCAATATAAACATCAAAAGCCATTGGAATAGAGAATAAATACAAAGAGAAAGAAGAAATGTTTTCTCTACTTTATTCGTTAGTTGGATATGCTATTAATAATGCAACACATATACATACACTATTACATCAATATAGAACTTGTCATAATGGAGTTGGGCATGTAGTGGAAGTGAGCATGAGTTGTCTGTCAAGTATGGGCATCTGAAATTATTCTTGGGAATGCGGAATATTCTCTAGTACATGGGATATGGGACGAATCTTCTTTCTCATCACGTAGTAAATTGCAATCATACTCTCAAATATTTTCCATAGAGTTCTTTGTATAATGTTTTGAAATGGGTTTCATTTCAATGTTATTATATGATCATAGGAATTCTTTCACTACAAGAAAACACGAAAAGGGTGACGCAAAAAGTGACGCAAATTTTGCGTCACTAAAAGGGTGACGCAAAAGTGACGATTTTGTGACGCAAAGAGTGACGCAAGAAACGTGTCACCAGAGCGTCACTAAATAGTGACGCTTTTGTGACGAAAACGCTAGCGTCACCAAATGGTGACGCAGTGATGACGCAAAATTGCGTCGCCAAATAACGCGCGGAAATATCGTCACCCGTTCGTCACCCTTTCGTCACTAATTGGTGATGCAATTGCGTCATTACTTTATACTGACGCAATTTCGTCACAAAAACTTTGGTGACGAAATTGCGTCATTGAGAGTGACGAAATTGCGTCACTAAT